TCAACTGTGGGATGAACTGGGGGAATCCCGTGAAGAGACGGCTGCGGTTCCCAGGCCGCCGCCGTGCCGAAGCGCAGGCCTCCCCGTAACCCAAATCCCATCAGCTCCGTACTGGTAATTCAAAACACACCTGAACTTGCCGCCGTGTTCTGAGATCTGCTCTCTTTTGTGGTGTTTTACTATTTTTCCAGGCCAAGCCCCAAACCCAGGGACACCATAAAAACACTCTTATGCATTAAAATAAAATTGAAAAACCCAACGGAATTTCTGTAAGCGTCTTTCCAGCAATTCCCAAAGAAAACTCTTTGGATCTAATCTGATGATCTGATTCCATACACCGATATGGATATTCAACTTAATTACTGCTGTTATTAGCTTATCTTTTTCATTCCGAATTTATCCCTCATCATTGTACCACATAAGCTGATGTCCCTGTCAGAGTTTATTTAAGCGGGCTGGCCAGAGCTGTCACTGAGCTCAGCACTTAGGCTGTAGCATTCATAAAGTGTGCGTGAGTGCTGCTAGATTACAGGATCCTGAGCCTTGGCTCGCAGTTTTGATTCATCTGAAATTAAACGATGAGTGTACCAATAATTTCAGAGTGTGTTCCGCTGCTGTTTCTTAGTGCATCGTACCTGCTTTGATATTTATTGTATGCGCTTCCTGGCTGAGGAGTTGAATCAGGCATTCTTCTCGGGGCTGTTGCCAAGTCAGTTTGTTCTCTTGTCCAAGTAGTTTCCAGCTTCTTATTTACACTTTTTGGCTTACCATTGTGATTTAGTGGAATCTTACCTGCTATTGAATTCTCCCAAATAAAACTGTTACTTCCCGTGGAGGGCTTCTAGTGGTTGCCAGTCAACTCCCATTGTCAGAATGATGATTACGTTATTTTGCATTGCTTAGTTGTTCCTGACAAAATAATTGAGAAGTGAGAGGTTGCTAGGTTGTAGCTGAAGTTAATTAATACATCTGCTTGCTAGAACTTGTAACACGTGTGGGACTGTGGAAGGTGAGAGCAGGGAGAAACATGGCATGGAAAGACAATCAGCAGAACAAAACAATGTGCAGCTATGACCAAAAAATAGACAATGAGAAATACAGGACAAAAAAGGGAGCGTGTGGCCCAGCCTAGTGGGAACTCTTCCTACGTTCCTAAGAAGCCCTGTTAAGAAGCTGTTTTGTATGCAAAGCTGCAGGTTTTTTAACCTCTCTTTCTCTTATGCCTTTCCACTAACATCTCTTCCTTGTGGGAGTCGGTTGCCTTTACCTTCAGCGGTGGTCTTACTCCTACATATCTGATTACTCTCTGAAAAATCTATTTCATACATTTCAGACCTGAAGAAGGATTTTGTGCCAAAAGCTTGTCTATGGTTCCCAGTTATGCCTGTGTTGGCCTAACTACCCCTGTAGGCCTTCTCCTTGTAATTTTGCAATGATGAATGCTATACAATATCCATCCAATTTTGGTGAAGTTTTATTGGTATTGAAAGTTACTCATTATTTATAGATACTCTCTCTGCTATTTCCATATGGAAAAAGAAACAGACTGTGTAAGACATCGATACACCAGCAGAGCTATGTCCACGCTGGGGGCTATTTGCTGCTGCTTCTTCCAAGGCTGGTGTTTCCCCTTGCCAACTGTCACCACCCTGGGGACCTTAGCTTCTCTTGCCATGCCGGCCCGTCATCTCATGGCCACAAACGGCTCCTCCAGAGCCCATGTCTCATTCCACCTCTGGAGGAACCACTCTCCCCAGCCCCCGAATCTCGTCCAGGTCTGGAGTTCAGTTAAATGTTGGGTTCGTCATCTAGCCACCTGACCTATAAACGAACCTATGGCAGCGTGCGCTCTAGGCTGTATACAGGGATCCACCAGCAAGTAGTTACCTGACTGGTTTAAGCCAACCTAACTGCACAGCGTGGTGGAAAGAGGTGGTTGTGCCCTCCTGTTCGGCTGCGTGTTGCCACTCCCGTCAGGTTTTAGGAGCTGATCCATCTGGAAAGTAGGTTTTTCTCGATTTTTTTTACAAGGTTAATTATGAGATCGGAGAGGTCCCGCATCCTGTAGAACGCGTGGCTGTACAAATGCGAGCACTGTTACTGAATCCAAAGGCTCTGAGTCACATCTGCCTCTAATCGCTCCCATATGCATTCTTTCGTATGTTCTGCTATTCGTTATGGTTTCCTGTCATGTGCTAATTGATTCATTACTTTATGCTAAGCATACAGTTACATGCTAGTCATTAGCAGTCCCATATGTTGAACTCATGATGTATACCTTTAAATGCTGTATCTCCAGGTCTGCCAATCCTCCTTTATGCAATACCACACATATGTTGCAGACCTACATTCATGCTCTGATGGATTTTAAACGTCCTGCTCGTTAGTCTTGTATGTAATTCTTCAGTTACTCTCTGGAGCTCCTCCTTATTGCAGTTGTGTAACGACTGTAATTAGAGCTGCTGATACATAGTTCTGTGCTTTAGCGTGTGGTAATACAATGTGTTTGAGAGGGGAAGGAAAGAATTTTGAAACGTCCTGTGACATATTTGAAACATCCAGCATAGTAACGTCGGTATAAACCCCATGTTCAGATTGAAGTTATGTTAGACGAGGGAAGTTTTGCATGAGTTAAAACTCCATAACTGGCTCAGAAAATGTGACTCTGGAAAAACAAATATAGCTGGGAGGAGGCCAAGTGAGTTCCTGAAGTCTTGCCGGTGAGGAAGTTAACTGGTCAGAAGAAATGAGTGGGAAAAGATGGAAAGAAGGGTGTATCACTCTTACAATCCCAACCTGCAGAATTTCAGAATAAAGAATTTAAGGAATCTAGAGCTGCATTGACTTTTTAAGTTTTATAGGAAGAAGACAGACTACTTATGGTATTACTACTTACAGATAGCATGCCCCAAGATTTGCCAGAAATAGGTTGAATTGAACACACCCGGGTGCAAAAAAAAATAGTTACTGATTTCTCCAGAGTTATTTCTACTTTACGTCTGAGGTGAACGAGTACAGAATTTGATCCTTTGTAGCTGTAGTCCCAATGTGACACAGTTTTAGGTTCTATCATAATCTGTGAATGCCCAACATCAGCATGGTATAGAATGATCTGTGGAATTCAGACCATCCTCATTTCATACACTGTTTATTGCAGGAACTACAGGCCTGGGGGAAAATAGCTGCACCTTCCCAGGCCTTTATCTTCCAAGCCCTGAATGAAGCAGCTGAAAGTCCTGTTGCATATAGATAAGAAACGGCAAGTAAAGAGGCTTGGGAGTAAGATCCGGGTGAAAAGTGGCTCTCCAAGGAAAAGCTAGTGCTTAAGCACAGTAAGTTGTGGGTCAGGAAGCAATCCCCATAGGAAGGGAGACAGTCTCGAGTAAGAGCTTCTGTAACACCTGGCCTGGGCTGTCCTAGTGGCTGCTTTCTGTATACTGCCTGCTTGGGGGAAGCCAGGCACAGAATGATTTTTCACTTTGCACTGCTGAAACCCCCCATTTCCTGAGCACGGACTCAGCCTGCAGCGTGAACCCTATGGATGCAGCTGGGCGGACACGAGCACTGCTGATGTACCAGTGCCTGCAAGCCATTGCATGACTGGGCTCTGGGTAGCGCCTGGCTGGGGGTGACCGCTGCGTGGGCTTAACCGGGGTCCCCGGGGAGGCGTCAGCCCCTTGCTAGCCATGTGCAGCTTTCTCGGTGTTTTCTAGGCGAAAGCTCCCCGGTTCAGTGCCTGTACCAGCCTTTCTGCTGCTGCAGCTGCTTCGGCTGTAGCCCGCCCCTATAGTGTCCTTATTGGATTCCTGGCCGAGGGGGTGTTGCTGCAATGCTAGCAACAGGGCGAGCGGTGCATTGATATGCTGGAGCTGCAGAGTGTTGTATAAGAAGGAGCTGCAGGGAGCGGAGGAGAATTAAACAGGATCACGTTTCTCCTCTGTGAGCTGAAGAGGTTAGTGACATTACTTAATCCCTGCTAACTGTAATTAGGATTTGGAAGCACCGCTTTCGTCTTCTGACCCCCCCTCCACCCCTCCCAAGATTGCTTGCCACCAGCGTTTCCCCCTCGGTTGTGAAGGAATGGGGGAGTCCTGCAAGTCACGTTGTCCTAGCTGCTCCAGACACCCACCACACTGGAGGGGACAGGCCAGCACTCCGGGGGGTGGGGGTGGGGGACACAAAGAGAAAGAAAAAAAGAGAAAAGCCCTTTCTTTGGAAGAATGTCCAGGGTGCAGTGAAGCAGAGTATTAGCTTGTAAATGATGTGAAAATAGCCAAGTAGCATCATTGGGTGGCCAGAGCACCGCATGGTGAGAGTGGGAGAGATCATTTAAAACCTCTCCTACGAAGTGTCTTTTGGGCTTGTTTTTAAGAAGTGCTGAGCTTCCTCCAAATCCTATTAAAATCCATGTTTACTGCAGGTGTTTGATAACCCCTTCTGAAACAGCAGACCATTAACCTTGTTGTACCTCAGTTTACCCATGTGTAAAGAAAGGGGAGATGAGAATATTTTCTTTTTGTAAAGGAACATGGTGGGACCGTATTCCAGATGGCCTTTGGTGGGAGAAAGGTGATTCTTATGTTCTCGGATATTGTGCAGAATCCATGTGTAAAACACATTGACGCTTTATTAATAATTACTTTATGCGCTAGTCACAGCTGCCACCAATCTCTAACTGTCTTAAAAAAAACATGCATCAAGGCTCAGTCTACACACAGAGGAAAGGCAGGCTCAGCCTTCATATAACTCTCCTGGCATCGTGCTCAACTTCTGTGTCGGAGGTTGTTCAAAAAAACCAAGCTAGTGTTAATTAGGGCAACAGTTTATTGAACTGATTTTGTGTGAAATCATTTTTATCAAACTCCTTGCATTGGCTTGCCAAATTAATTTTTGTGGAATGAGGATAGTTGTTCAGCTGTTGGTTCTCTGATTACAGATGTGAACACAGAATGACACTGTGCCAAAAATCAATAACATGGTGTTTGAGCATCTTTCTGTCATTTGTGTCGATAAACGGGAAAATAAAGACAAATCTGTTCCAATAATATAAATCCAACTTGAAGTTTAATCTTCACAGAATAAAGAGCAATAGGTAAATACTTAAAATTATTTTCAGCACATATAAGAAAGCTTTAGTTAAAGGCTTACTAAAAACTATGTGCATGCAACTTAAGATATTCAATAACTGATAGTAAAATATTAAGGATTGATATGATTCTTACTATTGGGATTGATATGATTCTTACTATTGGATCAGGGAACTTCCCTTATACTGGAAGGCTGATGATTCTGGACTTGTCCTCTTGAGTTTACATGCACATGGTCAACAAACTTTTTTTCTAATACTCTCACAGTTTCTTTAGACAGTGAATTGAGTAACTGTGAGCAACTGGAGTTTAAGTCAATGAAGTATAGTTTGTGGTATCCTTAAAGGAATGGCAATGCTTATTTTGTATAGATAAAAAGGACAATCAGTCTGTAGTTTTTGACTTCTTATTTTTAGTGTCCTCATTTCCAAGTAACCGTTATGCGTGATGGAGCCCTGCTCTCCTGGAGATGGCTGAACACCTGCCTGCCCATGGGAATGAAGTAGTGAATGAATTCCTTGTTTTGCTTTGTTTGCGTGCGCGGCTTTTGCTTTACTTATTAAGCTGTCTTTATCTCAACCCATGAGTTTTCTCACTTTTACTCTTCCAATTCTCTCCCCCATCCCACCGGGGGGGAGTGAGCGAGTGGCTGTGTGGTGCTTAGTTGTCAGCTGGGGTTAAACCATGACACAAGTGAAGATGAATGGATAAATCAGCTGACCAGTTTTTGAATTAAAACTGGAATCACTTCCCGTCTTGCGACTTCAGGACTTCAGTAAGATGCAGGAGTGGAATGCACATTGGCATTTTTGCTTTTTAATGATGACTCTGAAGTCACCTCAGTTTCATATGGCTTGTAGAGAGGATATTGTACTGTACGGGTGTGGGTGTTTTTCATTACCACTGACGTGGTCCGTTGAAACTCTGTCTGTGCTGCTATCCTTGGCTGGTTAAGCACCAGTCAGGCAACAGGAGATAAACCAAAACTGGAAAGAAGTGGAGAAACTAACAGAAAGAGCTTGGATAGACGTGATAAAGCAGTGTTTGCAGTGGGAGAGTAACTCTCCAGGGAAGGAGCTCCTGTGTTTGAGACAGTGGTACAGCAACATCAACAGATGCAGCACCGGGGACAACTCATTCACCTTTAATTTTCAGGCAACCGTAGATCTTTCTGAAGCTAGCGGGTAATGCTCAGTAAAAGAACTTACATTATGCTTGTACTGCACTTTATCAAGTGAGGCGTCAAAAAAGTTACTTCACTGAGAGGGGAGGGAATGGGGTTTAGGGAAGAAAAACAGTCTGAAAGCCAAGGCACTTAGCAGCTTAATCCTGCAGTAAAAAAACCCAAAACCTGAATGTATACATGTCCTGTTGTAACTTAGTAGAACAAAGGTTGCTGAGGGCCTGTCCCATCTCCTCTGGAGTTAGCCTTGAACCATGGAAAGTGTTCTTATGCATGTAAGGCCAAGCTGTTGGGCTTACATCTTGAAACTTTATAAAATAAGTGCAACTGTAATAAAAATATAAATCTACATTTGACCTGTTTCTTCTCTACTGAGCAAAAAGAGCTTTGGCTTTTTGTTTAACTGAACTTAAGTGTTCCTTAGACTAATGTTTGCAACCCAGGCAGAGCTCTACTGTGCTAATTAGAAAGCGTTGCAGAAAGCACACCTGAGTGGGAAAGATAATGAAATGCATTAGCTAATCCTGTTGTTCCAGATGAGCACAATCTACCACTTTAACAGGGAGTTCAACAGTTAGCGTAAAAGAAGTTTCTCCTTTTTTTTTCCTTCTTTCTTCTCAGTATAGCATTATAAACCAGTTAGAAAGACCCTGTTTGGGGCAACTAGCATTCCTGTTATAGTAACTATCCTAAATTATAAATTAAAGGCTGCACTACACTGGCTAATAAAGCAAGCCGTTCTCATGGCTCAAGTAATGTTACTGTGGTTATTAGCTTTCCTTCTTAATGAAATGTGTGGGCAGAAAGGGATCTTTATTGTCTTGTTGTTACCTTTGTTCCGTGAATGAGAGGAGAGGAAAGCTGCCAGAAAGAATATGAAATTATTAAATAATCCCTAAATAAGAGAAAGAAGTGGTACAGGATGTGAGGGGAAATGTTGAGACCACAGTCATTCTAGCTGAAACGCCATGCTAGAAGCTATAAAGCTTTGTGAACCTTTCTGTTGCTAGGGAGAACAGCCCTTAGTCAGTATTTACTGTCTTTTGCAGGCTCTGACCCAGATTAGCAACAGAAGACTGGTTAGTCTGTTATTTGGTGATGAATTTAGAGACCGTGGTGGCTTGCTCATACTTGTCTTTGGAGTAATTTGTTAATTTTTGTCAGGGGTAGCACAACTGTGTGCAACTGGAATCAGCATGGATCAGCGTGTTTGTATAGATCTCTCTAGGTTTAGTCTTGGTGACAGATACAAATATATAAAGGACTGAGATTTTTTTGTCCCCATTAAATCAGATTCATAAAATTTGGATGGAGAAGGTAAATTAACTCCTGACTTCTGTCTTCTTCTAAAGCTATGATTCTCTAGTGGCAAAAATCTGTGAGGAACTCGCAGGAAAGGATAAAGGTGGATTCTGTACAGTTGACAATTCACTGCTAAGTGATGAGGCTATAAAATGGAGTGGTACACTTCTGGAATTGGAGGTGACCATAGGCTTTGTCCGCTTTCATTCTTGGTGTCCAATGTAAGACGGAGTAGGCCTGTTTTTTACATTAGTATGGAGTACTTGAATTTGCGGTCTGAGTAGCCTGGAGTGCAGTCTGTTAGAAACAGCTCCTAGGTGTCTTAGGTTCCTCATCCAGAAGTCAGGATAACCGGTACCGGTGGCTGCTGGAAATGTTTGCTCTGGGAAACATGTTTTTCATTTGGACTTTGTAATCTTCTCATATGGCAACAGCTGAGCAAACCTTTGATTTTGATATCTATTTTACATTTACTTACTTGCACAGTAAAGTGGAATAGCGATCCTTGCACTTAGCCCAGTATTTAGAAAGATAAGACATACTGTCTGTTCCTATATGCCTGGCATCTGTAACAAGGCCTTAAGACTAAGGGCTGTTGAATAAATCTTTTCAAAATCAACAGGTCATTTGCTTGACTCTGCTTACTGCTTGAAAATAACAGTATTCTGACAGGTGTTTCCAACCCAGTCCTTCCTGGATAGGTCCTGGTGACAACCAGCCTGATCTAGTAATATTTGCAGTATAGACACAATGAAAACACAGCAAAAGAACCATAAAAAATGTCCGTATTCTATGATAATATAAACAGGGCTTAAAGTGGATTGATGGCGGCTGGTCCTCTGTTTTAGGGGAGAGAAGAGCTTCACATCCTTTCTCCTCTTGCCCTCTGAGCAGGGGATATGGCAATGCAATTCTCTGGCTGCTCTGAGCCCAATTTTTCTGTTAAGACTTCACCGGAAAGGATGCTGCTTTCTCAGGAGGGCAGAGATGGAGTACACAGTCTTTATTCCCTGCTGTCTCTGAAGAAGGCCTAATTTTGCACCAGGGAAATGCATGATACATTTTTTTTTTTTTCAAATGCAAGGTCAGCAGTTTTCTTATGTTCATGTACTCAGGTTGAAAGAGCACCTTTCAGAAAAACTGCTGGTCCACTGCAGCTTACCACCATTCCCATCAATTGGCTGGTACCTTCCCAGCATCAAACGTCCTGCAATATGAGAAACACAATGTTCCTGTTTCTAAAACATGAGAGGGGAAGTTCTATCCTAGATGCTGCAACATTATCAGCTCCTAAGGAAGCATGAAGGTGCTGATCACCCTGGAGATTAAGTTTCTTTTGGTTAAATGACTACTAAATAAGGCTTCAACTCTTCATCTTTT